TAAAACAGATGGTAAAAGGTATGTACTTTTACACAATTTGCACTATAAAATTTAAAACTAATATATTTTAGATACATTATATTACATGCTGGAAATGAAAATGGGTTTATTGAGGGTAGTGAAGCGATATTTTCTTCGAAAACAAAATTGAGCGATTACCATGGAGAGATGAACCAGGACAATTTTTTGAAATGGTTTCAACATCAGTTATTAGAAAAATTGGAGAGTCCATCTATGATTATACTGGATAACGCCCCTTATCACAGCATGATATTGAACAAAGTGCCCAACAATGCATGGACAAAAAAAAATATCCAAGACTGGTTGACAATCAAAACATACCATTTTTAAACACAATGTTTAAAACAGAGCTATTGAGTATTGTTGCTCGGTACATTATGCTTCTTAATTATATATAATTTGGTCGACAGTTTATATTTCTTTTGTTTATTCCTATTCTTAAAATAACTGCTTTTTTAGAAACAAACCACCTAAAATATACGTGATTGATGAATTGGCGGAACAACATGGGCACAAAGTTCTTCGTCTGCCTCCTTACCATTGTATATTTAACCCTATTGAGTTAATTTGGGGCATAGCAAAAGGTTACTATAACAGACATATTGGTAGAGATGGTAACAGTGAAAAAGACTGTTTGGATATGTGGAACGAGGCTCTACAAACGGTTACCCCAGACATGTGGAAAAATAGTGTTCGACATACTGAGCAAGAAATTTTTAAATGGTATGAAAGAGAACGAATTTTTGATCGACCAGACATCGAACCTTTAATAATCAACTTTGAGAGTGATGAAGATTCAGATTCAGACAGCGCTGAAGAAAGAAACTCCGACTAACTTTATTGTACAGAAAAAGCTTACACCAGTAGCTTACCTAATTTTAGAATGCATTTTTCTGTATGAATTCTGTAAAATAAATACCATGCATAAAATTTGGAGGACCCCATTTGGATTTTTATTCAGTACCTTTAAGCTATCATTTAAATATGGTAGTTTCGTAGTGTCATCTGATCAATAATTGTTATACTTAATGATTATGCAAGTACAGATCTATAATTTTATTATACTATTATTTTTGTTCTCATTTGAGGTTAATATTGCTTATAAACCTAGATATGTAAATAATAAATTTTATTATTTTACAAAAAGTTTGGCAACAATGTAAATTTTTCAACACACCCACCTTAATGACGTGCACGCCACTTTGTTTGGCGTTGACTATAGCTGCCATTCTGTTCATTTTCGTCTGTAGTAGCTGTGTGTGTTGCCTAAACGTCATGATGCTTGAATTAGATGGTTTGGCTTTGATGTCGTGTAACACTTGTTTCATAGATGGCACTAGCGGAAGCCATTCGTAGCTTCTACGGCTTAAGTTGTACATTGTATACTATATGTCGTTGTTGCATTCCTTCATAAGAGGCGTATACCGGCACGGGTATCATGTAAAAAACAACAAAAACAACTTGCAGACTAGGTAGTTTTTAGGGCGCAAACAGTCATTCCACGTTTGCTCGCTAGGATCGTTGTGAACGTCCATCTATGGAGGAATCACTCAACTAAACTACACTTATTATTGGTTGCATAGTTTTGTGAGGCTGAGTGATCCGTGACTGTAGTTTTTATCTCTGAGAAGAAAGTTGGTTGAATAGCAAGATCGCATCTGGATGATTATGTGTATTGGTCTGCTTGTGTATAAAATTTGATATTTATATATTGTGCTTTCTGAAGAGAGGCTATGTTCAAAGTTATAAATTACGAAAAACTGAGGAGAATTACGGGAAATCATCACCGCGCCCGCGTTGTGTGTAATTACTGTTAGCATGTATATGACTTGTAATTCGACAGTGTACAGTGAATATAATTATTTCTTATCTCTCTCATTTTTGAAATTCAGCAAATTTGTATATGTAATTTCCAGAATGGATAAGAAGTGGATGCGCAACTAATTTCTAGCTTTGAATCTCAATTAAGTGCATTTGAGACAAGAACCCAATGTAATTACCATCAACACATACAACTTACAGCTTAGACCTCCAGTAATGCCACAGAAGCAGATTTTACATCACTTCAGAGCCAAAGATTGATTACAAGCCTCATGACGTTTAGGCAACCCGTACAACTAAGTTAATATCTTGTAGAAAAACCTACATAATGTCAAAAAAAACAGCCTAATGTCAAAAAAATCGGCATAATGTCACTTTTCAAGATACGTGCGGGAATGCGCTTGGCAGTAGACCAGCGACTAGCTAGTGCACAAAAAGGCATCATACTGATTTTTGATGCCATTATCTCGATTGAGGTACTCCATTTATCGTGAAAAATATGTTTTGCCAAGTTTGAGCACTTTTTGATAACCAGAAAAGGTAAACAATGAACCATGAAAATAACAAGTGACAAGACTTGCATTCCCAAGGTTTTGAGCAAGGAAAGAAACTTTAACCTCCTATCTTGAGTCTTTGTTCTATTTCCGAGCAATGGAACAGGTACATCAAATAATTCCTAGCGCTAAAATTGTAACAGAGTAGTACCAAGCACAGCTTAGCATAAATTGCTTCACAAGTGACTTCTGTGAATAAATCAGAAAGTTTTCGAAATTTTCAAAGCGGTTCATTTAGATGACATTTAGGCGAATATCACATGATCAGTATTTATTATGATCCGTCAGTATTTATCATGAAATATGATATTTATCGACCGTGTAGCCTGGACGTCAGTAGTTATTGATATATAAGGTTGCGTAGAAATCTACTGACACCAGCAGAATTACCAGTGGGTACTGAGGGTTCAGACCACAGCAAAGTACTGAACGTATGAGATTCGACTTAGCAGCTAAGTGCAGCTGAATGTAACCTTGCTTCCTTCCTTTCTAGGTAAGAATAAGTAAAATCAGAATATTTCTCTTATCTCAGTTATCACTGAAAATAATTATTAGCTCGAGAAATAATACATCTGATCCATGCGACGCGAGCGAGGCAACCTTCAAATTTTTTTTTCCAAAACTGCAGCAATTCAACTTTTCCATATTATACGAGCCTCTCCCCACTTCAGTTGGCCCAACTATTGAAATCTTAGTTTTATTGTTATCAAACACAAATAATAAAAATGTAGCAGGGTGTTATAGGTTTACAATATTAACAATGAATATTTTGATAATATATAGTAGAAAACACCAACTTTATCACTCCCTAATCAAATTTGCAGTATAAAAATAACACATGTTGCAATTACAGCATATCAACCTATTTTCATTTCAATGCAAAATAAGTCTATAATGCATAGGTGGCTGTGAAAAATAAAAGCCATGACAATTGTTTTTATTAATCACAGCTGTCAGAATACGTTTAAAATAGTTTTGGGTAGTTAAGGTTTTCAAAATGGGTAGAGGAAAGGTTATTAGTGAGAAAATTCGGTTACTGATAATTGAATTTTTTAATTCTGGGAAATCAAACTCAGAAATTGCAACTTTGTTAGACTTATCGCGGTACAGTGTGAGAAATATTGTTAGAAGATTTAAGGTAACTGGTTCAGTTAATATTAAGCCACGATATGTGAAAAAAAGTAATATCACAAATGCCGACCGAAGAGCATTAAGAAGAATAATCGTGAAAAACAGGAGTGCCAATTATTTACAATTAAGAGATCTGTGGAGTGACGCTGTTGGAAGGAGAATTTCGAGGTCCACAACTCACAGAGAGGCCCACAAATTGGGATTTAGCACTCGCAAGGTACGTTTTATTATAAAAAAAAGTGAAGTAAAAACCCTAAAGTTGCACAACTTGTTTATAGACCAAAGAAAAGCCACTATTAACTCCACTGCAAAGGAAAAATAGGCTTAGATGGGCTAAAGAACATAGACACCTCAACAATGGTGTGCAATACAATGGAGTGATGAGGCCCGATTCGAAGTTTGTGTTGGTGACAGTCGCAGTAGAGTTATTCGCAAAAAAATGAAGCATTCCATGTTGACTGTCTGAAGAGAAAAGTGAAATTTCCAGCATCCATTATGGTCTGGGGCAGTATGTCATCAAAAGCAGTAGGAAAACTTCATTTTATTGATGGAAATGTGGATACAAACAAATATTTGGCAATTTTAGAAGAATCGCTTTTACCAGTGACGGAAGAATGTTTGACATCCGACCAAGATTCTGTGTTTCAGCAACATGGTGCAGCGTGCCATACCTCAAAATAGGCTATAAAATGGGTGGAAGAATATAATGTACCACTTTTGAAATGGGTTTCTAGCAGTCCAGATCTATCACCTATTGAAACTTTGTGGCACGAGATGAAAAAGGTTCTACGACAACATCCTGCTCGTACAATCACCGAACTGAGACAAAAGCTTCAAGAAATATGGGATTGTTTTGCACCAAATTTTTGCCAATACTTGGTTAACTCTATGCCCCAAAGAATTTCAGCCATAATAAAAAATAAAGGTGATGTTACCCAATGGTAATCTTTCAATTGTTGCTTTGTTAACTTCGCGCATTTATTCGCACATTGTTTATTTGTTCAGATGTTCTATTATGTAGTTATAGGTCTAAGTGATTTCAAATATGTATTTTTTACGACTAGAATGTATCTAAAATGTTTTTGAGAAAATAAATTGTTTTAGAAGTAAATCGTTTCGTCATGTTTAGTTTATAAAGGCATATTTTGGTACAAATCTTGAAGTGGGCCAACTGAAGTGGGAAGGGGCTCGTAGTTGTAGAACTGATACGAAGCCATACACCACGCATCATTATATGATCTCATGATGACATCTGACACTTTTGCATCATGGAAGCGTTCCATTGCCTGCGTAGCAGTAGCGAGCGTTATCACTACTTTGTCGCTCCGGAGCGGCAAATTTATCATTCGCGATCGTTTCTTGGAAATCATTCACTTTGCATGCCAGACATCGGGCAGTAACATGGTCGGTTGAAGTATCACCCAATTTCGAAAATTAAAAAAGACTGGAACAGGTGGGTAGTCTAAAACTTACCATATTTATACTTTCCACCTTTTTCTTTGGCTCCCCTCATGAGCCGATCTGTACATTCATCCAAAATCGAAGAGAAACTTGGAGGCATATCTCGACTGCACCGACAATTTAAAAAAAATCATATAACTGCACTTTGCACGCCACTTTGATAAGGATGGACACACATTGAAACGGCAATGGTATTTTGTATCTGAACACCCTGTGGCTACCATTATCAACCCGACGTCGTTCCAGAGATAACAATGTTTACTGCCGCAATCAAATGGATCAGTGGCGGGTTAATGAGGTCTTAATGACTGTTAAGTTGACTTTGAGCAAAGTATGTAGGAAGTCAATTTGCTTGCAGATTGTCTGGCACACAACCACACCCAACACGAGCCTCCATGTTTCACTGGCCGCCAAATAAAATCGCAGAACAGTTGAAAATTTACTAACGTTTCAGTCACCTCGACGGCCTTACCGCAGTACAAATAAAAATAGCTTATTCACTAGTAAGAGGAGAAATCATCTTTCTTGACCGCAATGTCTTATTGAGAAGTAACATTTATTCAAATCGTTACATTTTAAATTTTAAAACACGCAAATTCTTGCCGAAAGTTTTGTATTCTGTTATTTCATACTCTTGTACATGAAACCAAGCTTCAGAAAATATAAAACAGCTGCTGCAGATTTATCTTTGGTCTGAATAAGTTTAGTCACGTTACAAATAAAATCAGGGAACTCATCTGGTTGAAAGATGATAAGCTATTCATATATGTTATAAATGTCTTCACGCGTCAGGTTTTACTAACTAACAGAGCAGTCTATCTTTCTAGCAAATTACCTCCCTATTTTAGAACTTGCATTCAATATTAATCTTAACATAATACCTCTACTTTTGAAAGGAGTTAATGCTGTTAAGAATAGGCTAGTTGTCAGTTTTTCAAGATCTTAATCTTTGTTCTATTGGACCAACATAATTAAAATATATTTTTCTTAGACAGGCGAAAACGCTGACGGCTATATGAATGTGCTCTAACATCATAACATCTACGTTATAGTCAAGCGGAATCGCACAGCAACCCTCTGTTGCGTGAGTTCGCAAGCACACAAGACCGCGGCTCGCACTGTGATCAAAATCAAATCGTGCAATTCTAGATACAACCAAAATTACGATTTTTGCCACACACAAATTCCTAAATTAATTTTTGGATTAATTTAAGATAACCGAATGCCAGTTAATAATAGCAAGGCATCCCTTTAACCGGCGCACTTCATCCTCTTTGCTCTTCCCCCTTCCTTCCTTTCTTTCTCCCTGACTTCGTCTGGTATCTGGGCAACCAGACCTGACAGACCTACTGACCTACGATACTTTAACAAAGAGCAAAGGTCCCACGGACCGCTCTGACGGACAATGACGAATAGAAGAATAGAAGACATACCATCTGTTAGCAGCAGCTGACAGCAGAAAAACCTATCAAACTTTTAAACATATAAACATGACTTCTACTAGTTTATATGAAAAATATAGCAATTATTATCGTTATTGTATCGACCGAGAAGGTAAAAACACATCGATAACGACCCCAGAAAAGTTGTGGATCAGAGAAATAAATATTCGCAATACTGTGTATTGCTTGGAGCATACCTTATGTTTGGGACATATTTTACTCTTTACTGTGCAGGGTAGAACTATTCGTAATTTAAAATGCCGGAAAAATGCTACTATAAGTTGTCCAATAGGGACGCAGGAAAGTAAACGTCAATTTGACATAGACGCCATCTTTGTTTTCTGTCACCGACATGTCATTTTGTTAGTTGAATGTTTACCATTGATCGCTATGGAGTCGTATTCGATTGAAGACCGCATTAAAGTTATTCAAGAGCACTACAAAAATGGTGCAAAAATAAAAAACACGTTTCGCGCGCTTCGTGAACATTTCGGTCGCAACAACCGCCCAAACGAAACAACCATCGGTCGTCTGGTGCGTAAATTCGAGGCAACAGGTTCTGTGGCAAATCTGCCAAGCTCTGGCCGGCCAAGGAGCGTTCGCACACCGGAAAATATTGCTGTTGTGAAGGAGAGTGTGAGAGACGATCCGAAACAATCAACAACGCGTCAATCCCAAGAATTGGGCATTTCGAGAACCAGTTTGCTCCGCATTCTCCACAAGGATTTGAATGTACACGCCTACAAGATCCAATTGACGCAAGAGCTGCGTCGGGCCGACCATTTTTCGCGCCGATCGTTCTCAGATTGGCTCCTTGAACACCGCCAAATTGATGCCAATTTTTCATCAAAAATCATGTTCAGCGACGAAGCGCATTTCACTTTGAATGGGACGGTAAACAAGCAAAACTGCCGCATCTGGGCGAACGAAAATCCCCGTGAGTATCAAGAGCAGCCGATGCATCCTCAAAAAGTGACTGTGTGGTGTGCATTGTGGTCAAAAGGCATCATCGGACCTTACTTTTTCGAAAATGCGGCCGGGGACGCCGTTACCGTCAATTCTGAGCGATATCACGTGATGATAGAGGTCTATTTTATGCCGCAACTTGAAGGAATGGATATGGACGATGTTTATTTCCAACAAGACGGTGCAACATGCCACACAACCAACGTCAATATCCATCGATTGCAGTCCTTCTTCGGTGATCGCGTGATTTCGCGCAGAGGAAATGTGCCATGGCCACCAAGATCGTGCGATTTGACTCCCTTGGACTTCTTTTTATGGGGATATTTGAAAAGCAAAGTCTACGTCAACAAACCAGCCACCCTCCAAGAACTCAAAAACAACATCATTGCCGAGATAAATGCCATAGAACCGACCATGTTGCAAAATGTCATTGAAAATTTCGACCATCGCGTGGACGTCTGTAAATCCAGTCGTGGTGAACATTTGAGCGATATTATTTTTCATACATAAATGGTATAAATGAACCTTCAAAATAAAGTACCCAACTTGATTTGAATATCAATCTTTCTTGTTTTAATATGCGTTTATTTTCCTGCGTCCGTTTTGGACAACCCCATATATTCGATTTTTCACTAGCAACTTCAACATTTTAAATTAATATGCAGTGATTAGAGGGATATCGTTAGAGGTAATTATTGCACTATATTAAAGGGTTTAATGAGTATCCAAACAGGCGTTAAACAACCAGCAGGTGAACTGGGAAATGCTTCAACCTAGACAGCAATAATTCAATCGTTCGCTATATCGCTCCCGTTTGTCTCTTTTCAAACATTTTCAACAACGAATTCGAACTAGGTAGAAGAAGCAAGTGTACGATTTATTTGTGGTCAAAGTTATGTAGTCAGTAGTCAGGATGCACAACTTGACAGTTCGTACTTTTCCGCAAAAATATATATATATATATATATATATATATATATATATATAAAAGTGCGTGTGTTCCATATAATCGTTGTGCTCCAGACACATTCCAAGCCGGTGGAGCTTTCTATGGATTGCAATCAGCAGTTTAAACAGAATAAGAGCAAATCTTTTATCCTCAACATTTGGCTTTTACCTGGACAGTTGCGAGGTAATTTTGATCTATTTAATTTCACTGCTTATTTCATTGAGCACTCAGTCTAAAACTAAGGTTTGCTAACAGAATTGTATACCTAAAAATGCAAAATCTGATTCATACATTTCAGTTTAGAATTTAATGGCGCCAAGGATTATTAGTTTTTAGATGATATCTATACCACTACCATTGATAAACGTATTCTATCTTAAGACAAAATGAGATACCGTAGCGTCATCTAGGAGAATTTGTCACAGCTGTTTCTCCATTCACTATTTAGACCAGGGCTGTTATTTTTTAATCAAAATGTTTAAAATAAGTGTTTTAAGCACTGTTTAAAACAATGAAGGTGTTTTAAGCCAATTTGTTTTAAACTGCTTAAAACATGTTTTAACACTGCTTTTTTTGTAAATTGTTCAAGTTTTTTTTTTATATTTAAGTATGATTAAAATTGATTTTCTTTTGCAAAACGAAACTAAAAGGGCCATACGCTAAAACACATAGGTACTAAAAAAATATATTTTATTTTTATTAATTAATCAAACATAAAACTAGGGAAAAGTAGTAGTAGAAAAAGAAATATGTTTCTTAACGAACGAGTGAACTTAATAAACTGCACTGAACTCTAATACTGGTACACTACAAGCAGCAGAACAATCATATAATATGACTATGTATTTATGTACTTGTATAATAACATTAAATAAGTTACTTAACAAATTTCTATAAAAGTATACAACCCATATTATTTCACAAAAAATCTAAGAATCCTGAAATCCATACTTTTAAAATATAAAATCATGGAAAATGTACATATAATAAATTTTTAGTTTTCACTACTTTTTCGGAACTCCAAGTAAAAAAATGTATCTTTTTCACATTTCTTCAAGCTACTTAACTTTGAGGAAATAGGTTCGGTGGAAACATCATCATTGTCGGTATCTGAACTATCTGATATATGAATAGTTTGTTTTTCTAACACTTCCTTGTTTAAGTTGTTTACAATTTTTAATATGCTTGCGCATTCTAGCCACCAGTGGCACTATATCCATATTGCAGGTTAAACATTTTACTTTTTTATTTATTTTCGAGCCAGCTTTGGCATCAGTCTCCTTAAAATATTTCCACACGGGATCCTTTCTCCTCCCTGTCATTGCCTCTCATTTTTGACAATATTTAATGCACAACAAACAAAAAACACCAGCACGGTAAGACTTCGCACGTTTGACTTTTGACTGCTGGAGATCGCAACACAAAAAATTACCCAAAGGCAAACGGTACTTCGCGACGTAGCACGGTAGTTTCCCGACGTCCGCTTTTAAATTAGAGATGTGCTTTGATAGAGCTGGATTAAAAATAGCAAAAACACTTTCAAGGAACTTCATAAACGTTGCTAGATTATATAGGCAATGGTTTTTTAATTTTTTTTACTGTTTTGAACATGTATTAACAGTGTTTTAAACATGTTTTTTTCACCAAAATTTAAATGTTTTGAACAAAAAAAACAATTTTTGTTTTTTTAAATGTTTTTTTTTTCAAACCCTGATATAGACATATGTAGTTTGAAATAAATATTTTTTTGAATATTTTGCATAATTCAGGTAGAATATGGTACTACCGAACGAATTCGCAAAAACCAATAAGTTCTATGCCAGATGG